TATAGGGCGAAAAAGCTACCTGTATTGGAGCATGCATTAGTATAGACCATAGGAAAATTTTTAATCTACTCAGAAAGCTCCATCACTCAGGAGAGTGAATAGCCATGAGCACTCTTTCTAGGTAAATCTTATTTAATGTTTCCCTAATTAGAATCAATAGAACCCAATTTTCATTCCTGTGCCTTTGTTATGCACAAACTATCAGTCAGGGTCCAGAAAATCTCCCAGGCTACTTCCACACAAAACCGATTCAACTGTTTCAAGTCTTGACACTTATCTGACAGGATTTGAAAAATAAGTTTTATAAATGTTTGTTACAAAAAATGTTTGCAACTGGACAAGCTAAGGAAAATGAAGGGAGGCACTTAGATAATGAGAAATGATTTATAACGAGGTTACTTTATCTCAGACAAATGGAGCTTACAGAAATTGGTGTAGTTATCATCTTAAAGGTAAGATAATGCACTACTTTGCAGTAATCTTGGGTTTACACAGAGATTCTTGTGTTTCAGTACAACAGCATTAACCTCTGTTCATATTAAAGGGCTTGGGGTTTTTGGGTTGGATTTTTTTTTTTTGGCTGTTTGTTCTTGGCTTTTTTGGTATGCTAGGCTATCAACATTTCTACTCAATGACAATATCAAGTAAATGAAAAACTGACAATCTGTGCACCCAGGAAAACTAAACCTCTAATGAAATTAAGCATTAGAGTTTATTAAATTTTATTGTATTATCAGAAAGTTTTTATTATAATGTGCAAAATCTGCTTAGTGCAGCCCTAGATTGTATTTACAGAACGGTGGGACAGCTTATGGAGGCTGAGTAGAAGATGCCAGATTGGACAATTGAAGGAATATAATCAGCATAATGTTTTTTGGAAAGGCAAAAGGAAACTATGCCATATGTTCACTTAAGCCTTAATTTTATGTAAAACTGGCTGTTTTTTCTTTGACACAGCTAAAATGCCCTTTCACTTACAGTTCAAAGACTGTTTATTTGCTCTCCAGATCCCCATATGCTCAAACGTATTGTACACAGCACTGTCCCCTACTGGGGAACAGCCAGGTATTTACAAGAGCCTAAAACTGAGATGTGTGTTGTCAGAGGCATAGGGGCAGAGGCAAATGGGAGACAAGGAGAAGTCTGCCCTCCTTATTTCTCTGGCTTATTTCTCTATTTTAGGAGCAAATTAACCTTCTCGGCAGGAGCAACTGGACATGTGTATTCTCATTTGAATTTGGAAGAGTTTACACCTCTTGATGCAGCCTGTGTGCCTTTGCAGGGTAATACACTAGCCTCTTGCACTACAGCTATAATGCTATTAAATTTACTTCATGGAATTAGTACAGTCGCTGCTTGAGTTTATATAAGCTGCAAAGCAAAACCCCTAACTATTTTTAGTTAATCGCAAAGAGGATGGAACTTGTATTTTAGCAACGAGATGATCAGCTCGCTCTCTCTCTTAATTTCAGCCTGGCAAGATACAATCAAGGGCATTATTAAAACATAACAAAACAAAGCAAAAAAATCCATAAGGGTACTAGAGCCCAAAGTACCAATCTATGCTTGTTATTAGTGTGGCATATTGCTGTTTTAATCTAATGCTAGGTAGTGTATTAATCTATATGTATAAATTAATGAGGCTCTTAATGTATTTTCATTGGGAGGTTGAGCAGTCAAACTCATTTAGTTAGTGAAAACTACAAAAATCACTTTCTTGTGGAATTTGAAACTAGCAGCTTCAATGAACTAATGATCACAGTATGAACCATTTTATGTACCACTGAAAATAAAGATAACCTGTAAGTGTAAAATTTGCACTGCATAAACCATGCTTTTATACACTTCCACCTGTAAAAATATTCTTTGTTCAACTCGACTTGAGAAAGATGAGCATATTTAAAACAAAATATGTTAACAGCTAAATGGATATAGTGTTCATGGTATTATCTTCTGACCAAACCCTTGTCCCAGTCAGAACGAGCTCAGCAAACAGGGCTAGGAATCAATACGTTGTATTCAAAGAGAAATTTTGTATATCTGGTGTACTCACATGGCTTTTTTGCTGGCTGAACTAGCTGAGGGTTCAGGTATGGGCTATTCTCTGCATCTATTCTGCGCTTGTACTTCTGGCGACCTCCACGTACTCTGTCTAGGCGGACACCTACATTGGGAAAATAAGCAAACATGTAATTAAATATATTATGAGGATGCCTCTCAAGTAACAATCTTCTATCTCCTGCCTTCCAATATTTATTTAAAATGCATGTTTATTTCAAAAGATTAATTGTAGAAAGCAAGGGAAAGCAGCACTACAAGTATTTGCAAGCTGTTTAGATTTTCACACACGCAAGACTAAATATAGAACATATTTCCTGTTCGTTTAAAACTATTTGTTCATTTTTACATATTATTAAAAACAGCTAACAAGTTTAGTTTCCATTTGAAGCAGTCTGATCTTAAGTCGTCTTTGCCAGAAGCAGAAGTTCAAAGCTCTAGCAAACACCATGGATATACAAGGCTAACATTATGAGTAGAGAAGTACAGGGAATTAGAACTTCAGAAACAATGGGTGCTGTATACAGTTTATAGATTGTCAAAACTAGTGCTTTTCATTAACATGGATTAACATGGCCAGAGGATACAAAGTAAGTATCCTTAGTAAAATAAGAACATATATGTGGCTTAAAGACTCAAAATGGTTCATGAGGATTTGAAAGAAATTGTATGGGTATTCATTTAGATGTCATCAATGACAAATTAACATTTGTGTTCTACCTCCAAATTGTTCATTGCTTTAATAAAATATTCTGCTACCTGTTTTGTACGGATATATAGGAATTTACTTTCCTGAAACAAGGTACAGCTGCTCTCAAAGACAAAATGAAAAAAGGAGGGGAAAAAGAAGATGGTGGGTCCTATAAAACAATGAAGTATTTTTATTTCCTTCTGATTCACCCAGGCAGATTTCCAGACAACCAGGAAAAATGTCAGTACAACCAAGTAGTAACATAACACTGAAGTTGAAATACTCGGCACACATGCAGGGCAACAGGACAAGTAATACCAAGTGCAAAATTTGTCCCTGGTGACATGGATTTAACTAGACAAGAATGCAAGGACGCATTACGTATCAATGATCCCTGTGAGCGATGTAATAAAGCGCAGCTCACTTCCTCACTTTTCATTGTCTATTTTAGCTCTCCTCCCTCTGTTTATCTTTTCTATTGCCATTATTGTGCTCTGCTCTACTACTTCCCACCTCCCTGTTCTCTCCCTCGCAGGAAACACCTCCAGAACTGGCTTCTGGACTGCAGAGAAGCCACCACCAAAGCAGTTATAGTTTACGTGCGCAGCAAGAGGAATACAGCAGAGTTTACGTGCTGCCCATGAACCTGCACTGGTAGCAGAGTGTCCTTATCAGGAAACATCTCTCATCCAAAGAGGACTGACTGGGTTTGGTGAAGAAAACCCGTTTTGCCAAATAGCCAGAAATCCAAGGCCAACTCTTGTAGTTTTGGGTTTTTTTCTTCTTCTTTCATATTTCTTGCTTTTTTTCTTTTCCTGTTCTACTCTCCGAGTTGGCATGAAACAGCAGAGCACTCAGTAGCTGAACCAAGGAAGATGGCAGTTTACAGATCCAAGTCTGTACTCTTCTACTGGCAGGGAAGGCTTTGCATGAATGAGGTTCTCATCCACCCAGATGGACTGTTGATATCCGTAAAGGTTAGTAACACAGGAGATGTCTTAAGGTTACAAACAATGTCTGTAACCATAATGCAGTGAGTTGCATGCAACAGTGCTCAATACTTTTTGCTCACCAGGAAAGTGGGTAACGATCAGCTGTATATAATACTGAAATTCCATTCAGTTTACTGCAGAAGACTGCGTATTTCACTCCCCCAAACTCAAGAAGTATATTTCTTATTGTACGCTACCAACTATACTTCTATGAATCACATTATATAAACAATAAAACTAATCGACCACATACCCGAACAGGTCAGTGAATAATTATGAATGAAATCTTATTTATGGTATTTACCTATATCACTACCAAACTTGTGGCTGATTTGTGGCCTAAGCTATTTGATAAAATTCATGGTGATTCAATCAACAAAGCGTGGTTATTTTTTGTTTGTTTTTAAAGTTATACATAGAACTACAGGACCACTTTAAAAATCGATAGTCAAAAGCTTTTCAGAGCTAATGATAACTCAGTGTTCTCCACCCTTGAATTGGGAGTTTGAGCTACACCTGAAGCAAATGACATCCAGGACAATACAATGCCATAAAAACAAATAGCAAAAGACCAAGGTTTGACAGTTGAATATTCAGAAATAGGCAGAGGATTAGAACAAGCCAGATGCGATATTGGTGGGATTATGAAAAAGACTGCCCAGCATTTGAAGAAAAACAGACAGAAAATGATTTCTGCATAATTCAGGTGCCATCCTTCTTTCTGCTTGGGAGCAGATTTCATAGTGATAAAAGATGGATAGCATCAGACAGAAGTATGTTTAATCAAAAAGTAATGGAACTGAAGCTTAAATTAAAATAATATAAATCTACCAAGATGAACAATTTTTTTACCTCCTTTGCATTTGCCAAGATACACATTCAAGCCATTCACACACACGCAACGGAAGGAAATACAGATGAATGTCACAATAGCAAAATTATACATAGATCCATGTACTCACCTATTATACAGAGCTATACCTATAAATACAGCAACTTTCTTTTTTTGAAAAGAAAAAAGTATAATTCTAAATAACTGGGAAGTAATGGTATTGCGCATTTTAAAATTGCCTAAATCCATAATGTAACTAATTCCAATTCTAATGTGAAAATATTTTTGATAACATCATACCAACAGAACATAAATTAGAGGTTTATAACCCTTTCATTAAAACTGATACGAAGTTTACCATCATTTTAGCTCCTAAGCTTTCCTCGCTCATAGTACCATTACAAAGTAGCTATCTTTGAATCAATTTCTGATAATCTAACACACCCTAAGTGGTATTTTACTTCCCAAGAGTCGTTATAGAAGTGAATACAATGCAAGACACCACTTAAGAAAGTATACCCATCTGATATTCCATAAAAACTGTTGGAGTTTGGCAGGTAGCAAACTGAAATCCAGAAATTCTTGTGTGTATATATACATTTTCCCCTGTAACTCCTTTAATTTGTATGAGAGAATTCATTACACAAAGAAATATTTATCTTCTCTCAAGACAGTTAACAGCTGATGCCTTCTTTGTTAGAAAAACAAAGAGAAGAAAGAGAAACAATTTTGTCCACCAAGATTTTCATTGGGGGGGTGGGTCTTAACATCTTGATCACAGAGGAAATTGCTACAGTTCAACACATACTCTGTACTCAGACTATTGAAGAGGAAATTGTGGCATCTAGCTGGTGTACAGGGAAAAGTTAAGTAGACCTCTGCTTTAGCTCTGCTCTGCTCTGCATGTGCCTTGGCAGAGTCTTCAGAAACTCCATTCACTCACCCTATCAGTCCTCAACCATAAAGTGAAAAGAAAGATCCACCCCACCTATATAAACTCATGGCACATCTCTGACTGAATTGCACTGTATGTATTATCATTACAGTTTTTTAGGGTCAAAACATCCGTTAATGTCACTGAACAAAGCTCCACTGAAGACAAGCAAGTTGATTCTCTGCATTCCCCAACACAGAGTTTCATTTTAAAATTCTTCAAAAGAAAAACAAAAACGAAAGCCCAGATGAGAAAAATAGGTATGACCACAGGGTACAAATAGAAAGGACAGGCCTGCTACCCGTTATTGTACCAGTTACTTTCAACAGTCAAGTGCAAAACATTCACTTTATATCTTAGGACAGGCACAACTCATGAACTCATCTGTTCAGGAGTGATTGGTAGTCACACATTTTGACGGGATTTACAAAGCTCAGAAGATAAGAATTAGACTAGAACTGTAATGTATGGAGAGATGGAAACTATGTAAATCAATGCAATTGCTGCAGCAATTACATGTATTAATACAGCATAAAAATTTCCCCAGCTGGCCCTAAGGAAAAAGAAAAATGGTCTCATAGTTACCATACAAGCTTCTACAAAACAGGTTCACCTCCTAGTTCCTCACACAATCTTTGCATGATTTCTATAAAATGCTTACCAACACACGACAAAATTACATTGGGCATTTACTCTGAAGTGACGGAGTCCACATAGTCTTGCACAGAAACAACTGAAGACTAGAGCTGATGTACACAATGAGCTACCCCCCAGGTACTTCACCTAAATAAACTTAACATAGCCAAACGTGAACTCTGCATTTTTTTCTCTATTTTCTCATCTCTTCCTCCCTCATCAACAGTTGTAAATTCTTACTCCTGTTCTGTAGTCCTTTCCTCACACTGCCTTCAAAGCTTCATGTGGGACAGGTACCCACTGTGACTGGTGCTATATATTATAAAAGAATGGTATTACAGGGGTAAGGGCATTCTTTTTGGAATTCAGGTCCTCAGTATTTAACAGTGTCATCTATTTTTCCATACAGATCCAAGCCATAGCCAAAGGATACAATTTACTCCCTTATAATCTACGTCTCTTCCTGTTTTCCATCCCCTCTTTCTTACCTTGGCTACAATCTCCAGTGTTCATTTGTCCACTTGTCCCACAAACGTTCTTGTCCTTTCCATGGAGCTCTATACCCACAAGAAACCCTCAGGCTAACTTGGAAGGCATTTGCCCAATCCTTCAAATCAAGACCTACCAGGACTGCCTATAGGAAATTGCTTACTACCTGTAATCGGGGATAGCTTTTTATTTTGGAAAAAAAGAAAAATTTAATTCACTTAAATATGCACTAATATCTGAATAAATCAAAACTCCCTCTCTTCCTTCCAGGAAACATCAGTAAAGAACAGGTTTGAGATCGGAATCAAACCCGCAATTTTGACTTCCTATGGAAATTTCAAATTCTGCTCCCTTTCCATCACCCCTACATGACAGATTTATGGCAAGCAGGCACATCCTACATGGACACCTTTCTGGCAAGCCCCACCTCTAACACAGCACTCTATGTATACTAAATATATTCCTATCTCAGTTTTTGAGATATGTAACTGGGTAATGATCCTTTTTCTACAGATGTCTGTAAGATTCCCAG